AGTGGTTAGCAAACAAGTAATACATACAGTAGATGAGAATTGATATTCAATGCTTAGTTATTATCTATAATTCTTATTAGAGAAATTAGCTATGAGAGTATTTCTTGTTAATTAAACAAAACTGCCCCAAATCTCAATATCTACACCTACAAAGTCGACACCAATGGTACTTATGCAACTATCAATGCAAGGATCATCCTACAAACACAAGAACATAATGGAAATTAAGATACATCGGCAAATGAAAAGAATTATATATTTCTAAATTAATGAATGAGTAAGGATCACGAATCAAAAAAAGACTCGGGAAGTTAAGAGTTCCGCGAATCTCAATAGGAGGCATGATTTTCCGACACCGGAATCTCCAATGAGCAAAAGCTTGAAAAGATGGTCACTGCAGAAGAGGAAACGTTAGATCTTCTCAATCCCTGGTGCATATTATGCAGAATCTAAACAGATTTGACAAAAAAAGAAGGATGGATTATCAGCAAATTTTACAGACAAAAAACGATTGAGATTCGCACTACATACTATTCAAGTGTCATGATTTAGGATGGAGCGTTGGATAAATCCCAGAATTTGTTTCGTTCTTAGGAAATATTGTTTGTAATTGAGACTAAGCAGAAAGCAGAAAAATAGGTGAGCCTCCACTCCTATAACTATGATATTGTTACTTTTCAGATCCTTTTAGTTCTTTGGCCCTTTTCAACCTTCCCTATTTATTTTTCATTATATTTTTTTTTGGAGATGAACAAAGAACAACATTTAAGATGCAGGTGATAACATAGGCTTAAAAAATAAAAATAAAAATAAAAATTCTTTACTTTTCTTATGAGTGTAACAGTAATGATTTGTTGACAATATTTATTTAAAATAAATATTAATATTAAGATGCACATATGAATAAATCTAACTTTATTAAATTTTTTTTGTCAAAGAATATTCCTAATTTTTTCTTTGCCAAAGGTTAGGTAGAGAAGCAACTCCACTCATATCTTATAAAATAAAAACTACAATATAAAATAACAAAGATTCATAAAATCAATTTGTCATATTCTTTTTACCCAAAAAAAAAAAAAAATTTGCTTGTATATTTTTCTTTCTTGAGTGTTGGCTATACCGAAACAGAGACTTGGTAGGCAAGCTAGTGTACGAGGACCGGTAGGTAGTTTTTACGTATAATAAATTTCTTTGCCAGCTTGATTTCAGAGAACTAATAAAAATGCAAAACAAAGTAGACCATTAAAAGGAATAAGTCAATCTTATAACCCTCAATTAATTATTTAGTTATATACTTCAAATGGAAAAAGGTAAGGATATGTAGATTTTTTTTTTTTTTTTATAATTTTTGTTTATAATTTTTGTACATTATTAAATAAATGAATATAATATTATACATTTCAATAAAATAAAAAAATTAATTATTAAATTTATATATTAAAAAAAAAAAAAAAAACTATCTTACAATCATCTTCCTATTTATTTCACAACTTAATTAACAACATTTGATCATTTAAGAAATCAAAAAGAGTAGATCTTCTTGTAAAATCCCCTAATCCTAATCTCGGAAGTTACTTGGTCAGGCATGCCTAGAGCCTCAGACTAATCAACACGCCCATAAAATTTAAACAAGTACATGGTTTAGGCTTATATTCTCCAAAACTTTGGTGTGCAAGAATCTGACCATTACATATCGTTGAAAAGTCAAGTCAATGAAACACCTCCACGTCTTGGAATAAGATCATGTTTACTTGTCCCAGTTCAATTCCCATCCCATATAAAAACCCACCAATTTCTTTCTCAGCAGCTACCGTAACATTTTCTTATCTTCTCTAAGACAGCCTTAACCATGTCTGTTAAGGAACGTGTTGTTCCAGAAAAGATCCAAGTTGTGAAGAGCAATGTTCCCAACAAGCGCATGCGTGTCAATAACTGTTTCTCCTTCAAGGAGATAACCATGGAACCGGGAACATCATTGAAAGACATAGATTCTAATCAGTTCAAAGATGAGATCAAGAGATGGGCTAAGGCCGTTGTGAAATATGCTCGTCAAGTCAGCAGCAGGATGAGAAGCTCCAGGAAAAGCAGTCGGTTTGGAAGTTCCCGGCAGAAAAGCAGTAATGGAATAGGAAGCCCAGAAAGCTCGTCTCATGGCTAACCTGTTCGACCTTCATGACAACGGCAGGTCATGGAAAATCAAGATATGCAGGATGATTAATTGTAGATATGAGGATGATAGAAGGGCAAGCCGCAGAGAGAGATTGTAAGGTTCTTCTGTCTTTGATTCTCTGATTCTTTGATTCTTTCTTTTCTTATATTTTTCTCCCATGAATTTTTACCTGCTATGTTTCAGGATCCTGTGATTCTGATGTATATTGGTAATAACAGTATCCATTTGTATTAAATTACACAAAGATGATATAAAGTTTTTGAAAATTCTGTACAGTGACAGCACAAATTGTCAAAAATTTAACAGATCCTATAATGAACAAATTCTCCACATTTCTGATTACCAAAATCTTTGAAGTTCAAAATATAGAAAACACAAATATCAAACTATGGACATAAAAATGCAAACTCACAAAAAACAAAGGTGAAAAGAAAACCTACAGGGTTTTGAAATATATGCCACTACTATCCAAAATTTTCTCACTGGAATGAGCTCAAATGATAAACAGATTTCTGGTTCTCGTTTGAGTGCTCTGCAGGGAATGGATTTGGGGAATTGCTTGAGCACCAGTTAATTCTTCTGCAAGATCAATCTGTTTTCTTCGATTCATGAAGGGGCCTTTCTGCACTCCGTACAGAAAATGCCTTCTCACCCCCAGAAATACACCTCAAAAGCTGTTTAGAGCACACATCTTGTGCTTGTGTAACGTTCTTCATCCGGTTGGCTCTCACCCAAGCAGGTTCCTGTCAAGAAACATATGTCCATAGTTCTCAAATCGGACAGATTCAGCTCTAAACTGGGTCATATTTAAACCACTGAAAAAATGAATGGATGTGAACCAATTAGTGACCTTTATATCAGGCTAGAGTAAGAGATGATCACCTCAGGAACAAAGCGGGAAAACCCAAATTTTATTAGCAGCAGGACATGTTCCATGATAAGAATTGCAGCAAGACCAGGCTCGATTTTCCATTTCCCTTCCTGGTCGTATAACCACACTAGAAGTGCAGAGTTGGTGCATATTGCCATCATTATGAGGAACTGATATTCTTGTCATACATGCATCAGTGAAGATAATGATAAAGAGTTGAATATCAAAAAAATAAACATGGATGAGCAGTTGCTTATATTCCAGTTATTAACAAGAACCACTTCATGGATAATATAAATTTAAGAAAGCAGCAATGATTTTTCCAGTTTGTGGAGAAGGAAGCATTGGAAGGTTCCTACCCCATTCTTTCTTCATGATTCCTCATGAGGAGAGCTTTTCACCTAAGTTTTTTATGTTTTTTTGACATTATTGTTATTATTAATTATCAAAATCCCAATTCTCCTGTTGTGGCTGCAATTGAGTCCCAGGCTTTGCAGCTACTCATGAATCCAGGGCCTGTATAATAGGCCATTGCTTTTCTAGCCCTAAGAACAAAGTTTCAGATATTTAGTAAGAACATTTTGCAATTTCAGTACGTCCAATCATTATCTGTTCCATTAGTTTGGTTTAGCAGTGGCCATAATAATTACTAAATACATATGCAAGGCTCATTGAAAAGAGTTACACTAACATTTATTGTGAAAGAGAGATAAAGTAAATGTAAAAAAGTGTCTTACTCAGGACATTTGTTATTACACTTTGAATTTGCCAATTGTCTGTGAAATGCATGATGGATGGATAGACTGGAAAATTAGATGACCAAAGTACCTGAAATATGTTTAGCCAAGCTCCCATTGTTGCAGCAGCACGTGGAACAGGTCTTTTGAACACAACCAGCAGCTTCAGAGCATCTGTTCTAATTTCTGTGAGGTTGTTCTATACATGAAACTTCAATTTTAGTAATCAATTCAAATGAAATAAATATCAAACTATCTCTGCAATTAGGTGAAAGTAATACAAAAACTATAACATACTATGGCTGCAAAGACAAATGCAAGGGGGAATGCACAAGCAAACATCATTATCATTCCAAACTGCAGTGCCAACTCAAGAAAATCTGCACACGGTTGAGATCTTTATTAGTAGAAAGACAATATTTTGTTAGTTGTTTAAGCTGGTACTTAATAACCAAATAATTGAAGTTCTTTTGTAGCACATTAACATTCAATTTCTTCAATAGAATTTGCCATTATCAACAACACTTCTATTTGTGGTTAAAATGGAAATGCAAAAGAAGAAGAAGAAGAAGAAATAAAAGAAAAGGAAAGAAAGAAAATAATAATAATAATAAAAAGATTCTTCCTGGCTCTGCATGTTTAAGCCCAAAAGTGCTTAACAAAAAAAAAAGAACTCATTTTGCTGCCTGAGAAAGCTTTGATACTGCACAAACAGAATATTATGGTCTCATTTTCACAAGGTTTTGAAGGCCCACTTATATTATTAGCTGCAACATTTGGAATGTTACCATCAAAGAGCCCATCTTCTAGTTCCTCACAGATGCTTGCAGAATACGAAGGTTTGAGGTACTCCTTCTCCACCCTGGAAGCAAACTGGACCTTTCCAGTTGATCCTTTCCCACATTTTTCCTTGTTTCTTGACAAAAGAGAATAACAGATGCATTAGTTAACTATCCAAAAAATTTGAAAGTAAATCATAGCCATACACCATGCTGATTAGATTATAATACATGGAAGATGCAAAGAAAAAGCTTACCTAACAGCTCTATATTTTTTATAGCTGTATTTGAGAAATGGTAAAGAGTTTTCCATGAGATTTTCAAACACCTGAAGAGCATTTTGCAATAGAATAATACCATAAGTCTAATAAGCTGTGGAGAATTAACATGAGGTAGTCAAAAATCAATCATCATTACCTGAGAGATTATCATACGTTGGATCAAGAGTTTGCGAAGGGTCTTAATGTTGCGGTGTAATAGCGCATGATAGAAAACCCCAATATATGTCTGCATAAAATAAAGACCAAAGACCTGCAATATCAAGTGAACCCTTCAATTAAATATCCTGCCGAGAGAGAAAGAAAACCAACTGAGACTTATCAAATTCTAGACATTACCTTGTAGACCAAGCTGTCAGCTCTATATTCTGTATTTTCATTGATTTCATACTTGATGAGCCTGGCTGATATCTTGCCTCCAATTTTTGTAAAGTATTGAATGACAAAAATATAAACAGCAGTTAAGCCTAACCTGAAACATAAAGCATGCCAGATATAGTCATAAAGTGACCTGAATTTAAGCTGTATAATAAATTAAGGAAAAAAACTACTAGAACCCCAGATTTTAATTAGTTCAAACAAACATGCACAAAAAATTATCCTTGTAAAGTTTTAACAAGCCGCAATCCATTTCATAAAAATTACAAGAAACAGAATTTTACCTAACAATATCAGACTTGATAACCTCATAAAGATGAGCATAAAACAACTCAAATGGCAATTGGAGGCAGATAATACTCAAAATAATGATAGCATCATTTCTGAAACGCATGAGATAACCAAGCCACTCGTATCTTTGCAATGCTGCTTTCACTTTTGTTTTATCAGCACCCACATTTTTAGCAAGTCCCATGGATGACTGTAGGGAACTCCACTCCATACCCAAAACTCTATATTCCTGGCTGGTGCTGACTGAATTGTTTATCTGCAATCTAGACAGCCAAAATCCAGAATAAAAGAACAGAAGAAGGGGACAAGGAATAAATGGAAAAAAGACCAATATATGGAAAGATGACCCTTTTCTTACCAAAGCAGTTTATCTTAGATCCATATTCTTACCTGGCCAAGAGGGCAGCGTTTTTACGTTTCCAGAACTGGAAAAACAACACAGCCCACAAGACTATACTTGCAAAGAAAATAGGCTGCACTAGGAACTGCAATGATCTGTATGAATCATTGCATGCATGCTATTAGTTTACAAGCAATGATGCACCTGATGCACTAAAAAGGGACATGAGAGAAGTCTGCAAGAATAAACTCTAAGGATTGCAATGCTTACCCAAAATCGGTCAACTGCACAATAAGCCCAAGTACAGCTGGAAAAGTTATCCAACGTGTATACATTCCCAGGAAAGTAAAATAAACTGCTATCTACCAAGTAAAAGTTCCTTGATTAAACAATCCGCAAAGAAATAAAAATAAAACATGAAAATTTAGCTGATGATTAATTCTATTTACCTTTACTCCAAAATATGAATAAATCTCATCAATTGGCTGGTTGGTGTAGTCCTTAAAATTTAGTGCCCAACTCTTCAGGAACTTGTTCCTCTTCATTTCATCTATTGAGCACAATTTGTCCTACTTAAAGATCAACCAGATCATAAGAAATTCATGAATTTGACTAATAAATGTAAGTTAGCATACCGTGCAAAGGAAAAACTTGTTTAACAATTCCCTCTGATTCCAATCTATGCAGTAAAGATTCCTTCTCTTTCCATTGAATCTCTTTTCCATCAAATGTTAGAGTGATGTCTGCCTTGCTCTTATTTATCTATAAAAGATTCTGTCTAATCAGTGGTTTTCTCTGACTAAATAGTTTCAAATATATATCCAGAGTAACAGAGTCACCATAAAAGGAAAAATTCAATATCCATTAGGAGACTTAAAGTGGAAACACAATAAACCAACAATTGAGTAGTGCATGTCAAAATTAGAAAAATAAGAGTCCACTTAAATCATCATCAAAGATTTAAATGATACAATACCAAAACCACATATAGAACACCAAGGCTTTAGAAGCCATAAATTTCACTTGAACAACACGAACAAGTAACAACCAAAAATTGTTAGACAAACAAGAGTTGCTAGCTGATCAATGCCCAATAGGAAGTTCAAAACCGCATATAGAAACACTATAGCTTTAGAAGCCATAATTTCACATTAATGTCACCCTCTAGTCACAGCCAAAAAAGTTAAACAACCAAGAGTTGCTAGTTAATCAACAAGTAGGCAGCCTCAACATAAAGAAAAATATTAGATTAATTGCTGTCAAAAAGGAGAGGTGTTAAACATTTAAGAAATGATAAAATTTGGAAACACACATTTGAACTTTAGATATTACTTGCTCAAAATAGAGAAGCAATGTTAAATTTAGATGTTGTAGATATTATGACTCACTGTTCCATATATTAAATGGTGGTAGCACTGGAAACGCTCACACCAACTGAACAATGAACCATCAGGCTGTCTCAGGAAAGCGTCAGCATTTTCCCACTCAAATTGTAAATCCATTCCTGGGGATAAAATGAAGCACATATCTTTATTTATCTCAGTGTACAATATGTACGATTAATATTTGAACATGGAATACTTGCACGTTTCATTTAAGGCTAGTAGATGACTGATGAGAGAAGTTAATGAAAGAAATGAGACAGCCAGTGACGGGGGGTAAACAATTATTACCAATAGAGGTAGGCTTCTTCATCTGCAACTCAGCTGCAGCCCTCCCCAAGGTTTCCACAGGTGCTGCCAACTGAAAGGAAGACAGTCACTAATAAAAATTATGGAATTATCCACAAAGACTAGGCATCACTTAGATTTAAAACGCAATTCACATTTTTTTACAATCTGTGCACTCAATGGGAAAGCACCCTGCCTGTTAAATTAGGGTTCACAAGTCACAACCTTTCTTAGGATTTAACAAAAGAAAAAGGATGCAGTTCATCAATTTGCAAAAGAACAAATCTAATTCAACTTTATAGACAAATTTACTAATTAAGTGGCTCTATATTTGCCCGGAGTGGACGTAGGGGTCCACCACAACTGCAAGCAAGTTTTCTTACTAGAAAGTATAAACAGGCAATAAACCAGAAAATCTCTTTTCATTTCAATAATCCATTCGATATTCAACAGTTCCTTGGAACAAAACCCCAACTGAACAGAAGAAAGAAGAACATATATTCAATAAAAATAAAATAAATAAATAAAACCTTTTAACATGCAAAACCACAAATTCCATGAGATGGAGTTGTTTATAAGTCAAAGATATTAAAAAAAAAAAAGAAAAAAAAAAGAAGGAACAAAGCTGAAATCTTGAATTTAATATTAGGTATGCACAATCCACAACAGGCAGCATATGGATAAAAAATAAAAAATAAAAATCAATTACAATATAAACAAAGATCATAAGAAGCAATATGGTTTTTCAGGGCAGAATGGAGATATCTGAAAGAAAATCAAACCTTTATAAACTCGTCGCTAATGCCTTGAACCCTCTCAACTTTCAATCCAACCTTCATGAACTCGTTTACAAGAACCTCGACGCAGCCGAAAATCTCATTTTCTTCCTTTTGATTCATCTTTGGAACCACCACCCCAATCTCGAACACAATCTTTTCTCCTTCATCCCCATTCATTTCCAGAAGGAGAAATAGGGCAAGAACCGAATCTTGCACAATTGTTTTAAAGGATCATACAGGGCTCAAATGAGCAAATTGGGAAAGTTTCTGTGGATACCCTAAAAGCACCACTGGGGTATAAACCTAACAGTTTGCAAAAGTGAGGTTTTTTTTTTTTTTTTTCCTGGGTGCACTAGTGGCTCTAAAGGAGACAGATTTCGAAATTCAGCTCCAATCTGAAAATGGGTCTCAACGTTTAAGATCAAACAATGGTTTGCACGAGGAATTTCGAGTAAAAAAGAGGAATTTGGCTAAAATACCTGAACAAGTTTCTACTGTTAGCGTACTGGTGGGCTCCTGTACCTAAGATCAAACAAAGAAAGCTATTTTAAATGCTTAATTTCCACCATTGCAAGATGAGACCTTTACACCTGCAAAGGATTAAACAATGCTTGCATCAACAGAACCAAAAAACCAACAAAGAAGAAGAAAATGCATCTAAGTCACTAAGCATGTATGTCTGGAGAAGAAGAGAACAAGAACAGGTGTATGAGAAAAACGCGTATTGGGGGAGGGGTTACCTTATAAGAGAAGCACATAGGTTTGAGTGATGCGTGGCGCGAGGAAGTGGGAATTCCTTGGCTTTGTCTGCATGTATGTAATGAACCGTGGCACAGCCCCTACGCCCAGGGTGGGATCGTTGACAATGACAAGGAGGCTTTCTTCCTTTTTTTTTTTTTTTTTTTTTTTTACAAGAGCAATGGTTATTAATTAAGAATTAGACAATTAAGAATTAAAAATTAATACTTTATTCTTTTGGTAAAGTTTTATTCTTTTGGTAAAGTTTAACCACTACTTCTTCGTGTGCATTTCACCGGTAACTATTTGAGTTGCAATGGCATCATAGGATCACAATAGAGGAATGCGATAATAACAAGGAGTTTGATCTTAATTTTGGTTAGCATCAACACAATTTATTTTTTATTTTTATTTTTTAATGCACCATATTGGTGTGGATTGTTTCTTTAAAATTTATTTTTATGAGTAGGGAAGATGGTTCTTCAACTCTAGAAAAAAAAAAATTATTGTGTAGATTACTTTCTGAATTACGTTAAATTATATTATATAATTAAGATAATTGAAGGATAAATAAACTTTTAAGTATTAGAGTTTTTTATTTAATTATTTTTATTTTATAATTTAACATAAACCAAACTATAAAATAAAAAATTTAGTTAAAAATCTTTTAAATCCTAAAATTGATTCACTTAAACTACATGAAATTTTTTAGGTGTTTCTAACAATGCACGGAGTACGTAATCACGATTTATGATTGTCAGATGAAAAATGCATCCCTTATCTTTTGGTGAATTTTATACCATACAAATTGCAAAAAACATTTCTTAATATAATTTTTTATTAAAATATTAATTTAGTCTCTTAATTTTTAGATTTATATTAAAATTATTTTTTAATTTTAAAAAATATCAAATTACTCTAAATTTTAATTTTTAATATTAAAATAATCTTTTTATTGATAAAAGTGTCACATAACTTCTTATCATGCCACAAAATTAATTATTTTTTAAAATATCAATTACGTGTAAAATCAAATAATTATATTTTATTATTATAATATATTTTTATTTATACATCAAATTGATATATAATCAAAATTAAAAGATCAAATTGGTATTTATAATCAAAATTTTAAAACTAAATTAGTATTTATCCTCAAAGTTTAAGTACTAAGTTAGTATTTATCTTTAAAGTTCAAGGACTATTTTTAATATTAAAAATTAAAATTTAGGAATAATTTTGATACTTTTAGAAATTGAAGGATAATTTTGATAAAAATCTAAAAGTTGAGGGATCAAATTACTACTTTAACCCTTTTTTTTTTTCCTTTTATGTGATTCATCTCATACACCATGGGGATACTTACTTTACCCATTTTTGTTTTTTCACGAAAAGGATTTCCAAACCTGGTCGCAGGGTCCAGACCCAGTTCAGTTTTGGCCCGAGATAGCAATCCTCCCTTCCTTTTCTCTTCCCCTAGCCTTATCCACGAAGGAAACGAACCCCTCCCAATTGCGAACGTGTATACAAATATACTACGAAAAGCAGCTCCAACCGCAACAATTATTAGTCAAAGACGCGATTGGAACGCAGAAAACCCCCAATTTTTCAACCCCATTTTACTTTCCTTCGTCTCCGATTCTTCTCAAACAGCGATCATGGGTAACACCGAGAAACTGCTGAACCAGATCATGGACCTCAAGTTTACGGCCAAATCCCTCCAGCGCCAGGCGAGGAAGTGCGAGAAGGAAGAGAAAGCTGAGAAATTGAAGGTCAAGAAGGCGATCGAGAAGGGGAACATGGACGGCGCGAGGATCTACGCCGAGAACGCCATCCGCAAGCGCACCGAGCAGATGAACTACCTCCGTCTCGCGTCACGGCTCGACGCCGTCGTGGCTCGCCTGGATACTCAGGCTAAGATGACCATCATCAACAAGTCCATGGCCAACATCGTCAAGTCTCTTGAATCTTCCTTGAATTCTGGTAATTCCTCCTTCCTCTTATTCGCCGGAATTGTTTACCATACGTTTTTTTGTTGCTGTGACCTTAATATCTGAGTGAAATTAAAGAAACTAGACAATGAATTATTGAAGAGGAATTTAATTTTGTTATTATTTTTAAATTTTTTGGGATAAATTAGTTATGAGAAAACTTGTTAAAATTTGCAGCATATAATTTTGGGTTTTTTTTTTTTCCTGCGAATTCATAAAATCAGGTTGGATGATGTTGAGTAAAGCTGCGATTTTTCTCATTGCTCGAAATAATAAATCTGATTGTTGGGCAGGCAAAAAAAATTGATTGTAAAGGGTACCTGCTATAATGCTAAAATTGGTTCTGTCTTCTTTATTACAGGTAATTTGCAGAAGATGTCAGAGACAATGGATCAGTTCGAGAAGCAGTTTGTGAACATGGAGGTGCAGGCAGGGTTCATGGAGAATGCTATGGCTGGATCTACCTCATTGTCCACACCAGAAGGTGAGGTCAACAGCTTGATGCAACAAGTTGCTGACGATTATGGGTTGGAGGTGTCTGTGGGACTGCCACAGCCAGCTGCACATGCTGTATCAACCAAGACAGAGGAGAAGGTTGATGAGGATGATTTGTCGAGGAGGCTTGCAGAACTTAAGAGTAGAGGCTAAAGAAACAGCTGAGGAATGTATGTGCTATATATAGGATGCTTGGGATTATAATTTATAACTGTGGCCGCATGTTCTTATTCTGTGTAAATTTGAATGATTTGGGTTTTGCACTATGATATCATATGTTATGGTTGTTGCATATTGCATATGGATGCCAATGCCTTTAATATGAAATGTGACTATTTTCCTTCTATTTTTGAACCTGAAAGAATATTGTATGAATGTTTCTAGAGGTGCAACATCTGATGCTCCTAGGAATGGGGGTTTGCTTCTGCCGCTTGCATAGTGCATGCAGCCAAAGCGAAGATCTTGTATCCTTAATTTGTCTTCAGGGGCATCTGTATGAATGTGAGGATACCTAGTTCTTAGATGAGTATAGGCATTTGTATTTGTGGTTTTGATTTTCGGGATCACTGCTGAATTGTCACTGACTCATACAAGTGTCTCCTTTGTATCAACAAGAGCCCATCTCATTACAGTTGATGAACATAATCCTCATTGCTACTGTTCCCATATGCATTAAAACACAGCTCAGTGGTTGTATTTGTATCTTCATGTACATAGATAACATTTCGTGATTGTATTTGTATCTTAATACATGTAAATGATCTATTTCTTGAACTCTATATTTTATTTGAATAGCGGTCCATTTGATCGAACCTAATTTGTAAATAGTAAACAAAATATGCAAAGTCTTATTTCTATTCACTACCACTCATCGCTACAACTTTCTAGTCTTGAATGTCGGTGTTTCAACCGTCTTTGGGTGCGTTAAGTCTTTGAGGCAGTGCTAGTAAGTCGCTGAAGCTTTTTCTGAACCTTCTGTAATAGTTTTGGAGATCGGACCTGAGATAAACGAAACCCGATTGAATCCAGATACCACCCGCTTCTCCCATACATCCCGACGACACGTCCTCCTCCCTCCACCGTCAAAGCAAAAGGGGTTCCTTCTTCCACTCCAAACGGACCAAATGTTCTTTGGTTACTCTTGAAGGTGACAGACCGAATCACAGGGCTGCCACCATAAACCACCGGACAGTAGTGGCCGGTCACGCTCACCAGAAACTCGTCAGGATATTGTAATTTAATCTGAAAACAAAGGTAATCTCAAAACTCAATTCAATCTGTTAAAAAAAATGTCATTTGAAATTTGAAAATCTTTACTTCCATGATTGTTTTGAGCTAACCTCAGCCTTCTGAGGCCCGCCAACACCTCCATGTTTCTCTGCCATGAAAGGCTTGCCATTCCTGTCATAGACCACTCTCAGGGAATCAATGCAATCTCCGTAAATAAGTGTGATTTCTCTTATCCCTTCATGGGTTCCATCGTCCCAAGTGGTTCCACCATTTCCTCCCCATGGTCCAGCCACCACACTCATCTTCTTGTTGGCGCTAGTTTGATCCTTACCCCTGTCCTGCAAAAGTGCACTTACAGCTTCATTGCTTGAAAGAATTAGACTATTTCGGTCCTATGGAGTTTTTGTTTCCTTACCATTTCAACAAAAACAGAAGCCGCAGAGATTGCTGGAACAAAAAATTTTGCTACATGTAAAAGTTTTCTTGATTGGGAATAGAAAATGTGATGATGCCAAGCCAATTTAGAGAACTGGAAGTCTAGTTCAGCATCCGATTCTCTTTCCCTTTCACGCCACATCTGACGCTGAGAATTTCACCTTTTCTTCTCCAATAAGCATTTATGCAATATATGGTCCCCCCATGCATTTATACCGCAAGCAGAGAACATTTTCCTCTGTCAAGCAATATACTTATACTCCTCCTGATGCCTTTGCAATAACATAGGACTGTCCAAATGTAAGGTAAAGAAATTGAACAACTAAGCTTGCATGCTATTTATGATCAGCATACGCAGTAATGGAATATTGGCCTCTTTTTGACCTTTGAGGCTCCCTGCCATGATATATGCGTACCTGAATCAGATTATATGCAGTTGGTTGGTCTGAGTATTTCTATTAACAAAAGTATAGAACAAATAGAACCCCAATTACCGAAATTAATTAGAATCCATCCAAAAGAACTTCCAAAGAATACAACAGATTCATAAAAAATTGAAATAATAGACCAGAAGGTTCGGCAATCTTATTATTTAGCAGAATATAGGTAAAGTTTAGTCTATGCGCACATTAAAGATGGAAAGATTCATGGAATTTCCATTTTAAATGAAAACAAGTTGTCTCAGGTGGTTAATAGAGGAAAGGTTCTCAATCTTTACATGCTCCAGATTTGATAGCTCTTTCATGTGGTTTTAACTCCTTTTGTGTTAATCCTTCATTGATCTATACTCTTCTTTTATTATTCATAGTTTGCGTGACTCTGGAAAGCTTTTGAATTATACAGAATTTTTTTTTACAAACAGTATACATCTTTGTCCTTTGTCTCATCCCCTACTAGCTTTTGTTTGATTCTTCACTGGTGAGAAACTTTGAAACCACAAACCAATGTGACCTTGTTCTTGTGTTATTTAAAGTCAAACTAGAGTTGAGGTTGCTGTAGGGGAGATTTGGAAAAACTCAATGAGTGGTTGAGGAACTTCCATCACAGTAAAAAAAACAAAACTAACATCACTTTCTCTCCACCATTTTGAGGATTTTTAAAGCAGAAATATTAATTGTAGTAGTTGATTTGTATATGATATAACAAATTTAATTCCCTCCAATATTCCAAAATTGTTGAACAACATCATACATACTTGGAAAATTCTTAACTTACTTACATTAGCTTTGAGTATGATCTTAAATATTCAAATAATCATGAGTTACATCTTCATGTGTCTCTCATGTATACGTAGTACACAACATTCAAATGAGCTGTTCATAGAATTTACCTGTCTATGAAATATCACTTAGATTGACAGGGGAAAAAAATGTTTAACTAAAATGTACAGCGCTTTTAATGGCCTTGAAGACTAAAGCCCTAAACACCAAGGGACACCCTTCAACATACACCAAAAGCAATTCAAGCAAGAACCGAGGCCATGTGATTTTTCAGAAATCCTCAAAATCATTTGAGGTAGAGCTGTAAGGGCATAAATAATGTCGAAATATTTGGTCCACTAGTAAAAACTAAGACTCAATCATTTTAAAGTTGTGAGATAGACTCCAACATATAATAGGTATTCTCCAAAATTTTCTTGATTTTATACTACATTTAAGTTGAAATATTTATATATATATAACTTGAATACTATGCTTGTTTTTTTGAATATTTTTGTCATGGGGCCGGCTCAAACCGTTACCCTGGATGAAGGGGATATGAATCTTACAAACGTGGCTAAGACCACTTGACCTGAAGGGTCAAGTTCGAAAACTATGCTCGTTGATTATTCTCTATTAAAAAAATAAATTAAAAGTCCAAAAACTCAAATAAGATTCTTAAGCCCAGCAAAGGCCCACATGCCCAAGACCTTTTTTTATTTTTTTGGTATTAATGTTTCGGTATCCGGTAATCATGTTGGGTTCTGACCAATTCAGAATTAAGTCATGTCGGATTCCATTAGGGAAAAATCTCACCCAACACTTGTTTTTTTATTCATAAGATTTGAATTTGAAACTTTATTTAAAGGGAATCGAACTCATTCTACTCGGAGTAGTAGGCAAGCAACTGTTAATTTCTTCCATACTGCTAAGGTTAGGATTATGATTTACATGAGCACTTTAGAACTCAGAAGGGTTGCTGGAGACATGCTTGACGGTAATAAAGTTATTGATATGCAGCTACTGATTAGAGGTGAGGATTTTGCATTTTATCAAGAGGTGATATATTTATTCTTTGATACTTTGTTTTCATTTGACAAAACTTTTGGTACTTTAGTTTTTAATTTTTATATCTTTTTATTATTTTAAAAATATATAAAATATTAATTAAAATAAATATTAAATATTAATATCTTTTTATTATTTTAAAAATATATAAAATATTAATTAAAATAAATATTAAATATTAATATATATTTTATATTTTTAAGATGTTAAAAAGACTAAAAAACCAATAGCTGTAGCTTCAAACCACCACTCTCAAACTAAGCCTTTTTCATGCTTGGAATGCAGGATGAGACACGTCCAGAGCTAAAAATCTGTACATTCACCCTATTTGGAGAACAGTGAAGATGCACTTCCATATAGTGCTGCACTTTCATGCATCATTGGCCGCCGGCTATCTTCCTAAAGCAGAGCCAAAAGGCCATCCACAAGAAAGGCTACGTTTGGAAAAGCCTCACATGAGTCATGACCTCGTTCAGGTTGGACACATCAAAGCATGTACTTCAAGTTCGATATCACAAAAAGTAGGTTATTTTCAACTCAACCATTCAGGGGATGGAGAGTGAGGTGGTTATAGATTTTAGGTTTTAGCCATAGTGTTCTTCTCTCTGCTCAGTAAAGGAAAATTTCCTTTTTCTTCTTTGCAATTATGATTTGAATGATCATATCTCAGAATAAATGACATTGTTCTTGCCTTTGAGCTGCTAACTGTTGGTTTAGTTTTGAGTTCAACAAAATGCCTGGCTAAAGCTGCATTGTAAGATATTGGGAATGAAATAGCTTGTAATTTACGCTATGTCATTTCTGAATCAATGATCTTGTCGACAACTAGATCCTAAGCCACCTCTTCCAAACTAACATTTTGGTGCAGAAGAATAGTCTTGTTGAAATGATTTCTAAGACAATATGAATGCACCCGGAAGGTTTACATTATTGTTTTCTTCCATTTCTTATAGCAGTCAAAACGACAAAAAGCAACAACAAAAGACCTTCCAGAGTGTAATATCCCAGAAGTTTGGGATCTAATTCTCTATATATTCAAAATCCCTTTTATATTGATGTTTTCCTAAAGACTGATACATGAGGGTGAAAACGGGACAAATTGCTCCTAAAAAAAGCACCATATATCAAATATCTTTGTCAGTAACCCTAGTCAATACCCCAAAACTGTCGAAGCAAATTCTAATAGAGGTTCCAAGGCGTTAGGAGCAAACTTTCTTGCAAAAAGATAACACAATGAAGAGGGCTGGTTATTGTAAAGGCATAACTGACCTTCAAAAATTTTCCTAAAGAATTCTTCTCTGATGTCACCCTTACCAAATGTTGCTGGGTGAGCACCACCCCTTGACCAGTCTGTCCATGTAAGAGTCCGATTTGCCAAGAGTTGGGGAAATTGGATAGTCAGCATTGTAGGGAAGTAGTGCTCATCTACATAACACGCTGGCTGGCAGAAGTCTCTAAATTTTGGATAATAGGTGATGTCCTCAACCATGCTAACTGCTAGTTTCCTGTTAACTTCAAACCACTGGGACCCCTTTCGCCATTGGCTAAGGGTAACCACTGGTTCCATCCGTTGATCATACCGTCCTCTTCCGTAAGGTCCAACATCATCAAATGAGCCCATAAAGCTATATCTTGATCTTGATATGTAGCGATAGACTATGCTGAAGTTGTAGAGAGGAATGCATGCCTCAGATAGGAGGATGAACCATTCATTGGAAATATCAAGCAGTGCATTAGCCAAAAGTCTCCTTTCAGCATCACACATACTCATCTTTCCCCACTCCACCATCTGCAAAGATATGGGTGGCAAATATATCAAATCAAGGGAGCACATATCATATTATGATATAACAAAATGGATCAAACCTAACAGACAATTACAAATTTTTTTTTTATTCTCATAGATTGTTCAAAAGGATACCCGTCTTCCATCAAAATTCAAATACCCATGGATTCACTGTCTGCTTGTGAACTTTATATAATTCAGAAGAAAAGTCCACATGTATTCAAGGGTCAAGGTGATGCATAGGCATGTTTTTCACAAAAAAAAAAAAAGAAGAAAAGAAACAAAGATTTCATCAAAAAAAGATATTTGTAGCATCCACTGGTTTTTGGCAATTTTCTGTTTGTGGTCTACAGCTAACAGTAAAGCACTTTTAGGACTACGATTATTAATAGTCCTTGTACAATTAAAGATGGGCAAGAGTCTATAAATAATTATACACTCTTTATAATGTGAGAGTGTGTGTAAACCTAATAAACCATAAAGAATCTGATGTCAAATCTGGAAATCCTTCTGCCAGTCCTTTTTACAGATACCAGAATAACACCACATTCATTTCCTAATTTCTTGATATCTTCCTCCAGTCCTAATCTCAGACCAAACCCTATGTAGACCTCACTATACTTGCTTATCTAATCCTTTTACCTTCAAATTACCCTAAAATGAAAGCCAAAATCCCTCAAGTCTACAATTTTTATTTTTTATTTTTTGTGGAGGCAAAATTCCTTGAAAATCTGTCCTACATCACCTTGTTCAGATTTGCACAGGCAACTCAATATATTATTTTAACAACACTTATTATTATTAACAATAAAATGTGCCATTAGTTTTTCATGTGATGGCTTCAAGATTCCTAGGGGCATATGATGCTGTGAAAACAGCCTTATGAATGGTTGCAGATACTTGCGCAGGTCTCAAATGTTTAAACTTTAAAAGAAACATGTAATTCATCTATCAGATCAAGCTAACTATATGAACAAGAGTATCTTAACCTTTATCTGTAATTTAGACAACTAAGATCTGAATGAACAACCATCAGAAATCCACAGATTTGTAAATTACAAAGTACAACCCAACTATATGAACCAATCCAATAATGGGGATACAGATTCCTTCTGGATTACAGGGATGATAGAATAGGGCTTAAATTCAATTTTGTTCCTCTATAAATTTAAAATTTAATCAATTTAATGAAATTTCAAAATACAAGATAACATCTTAACGACCAGTAGCTTTTAAGTAATCAAAATGGCAAAAACATGGCAACTAAAAGAGAGACCTGTAAGATGAAAAACATTGTAATTGCCAAAACCAGTTTTACATAAATGATATATTGCTCATTGATAAATTGAAGAAATGAAAGGAAATGCAATACCTGACTTGGGATTTGCCTCCTGTGGAATACTGATGAAGATGGATAGTCACCAAAATAAGATGGCAGTGTGTGAACGTATATAGAGTACAGCCCTTCATTCCCCTTGAGAAACCTCTCCCATAGAGGAGCTAGGGGCAATGGCCCCTTTGTCAAGAACATGAAGGCAATCTTGGGAACTCTCTTAAAAGGATAATTTGAGATCTGAGGAACAAATGAAGCTCTCCACAATAGCTCAGTGTCATTCATGGTATGCAATAGGTTTGAGGGAGGCCTAATCCAGCTTTCTATGTTCTCAGCCTCTTCAAAACAAGGAAGAATGCTGGTTGCTCCAACTGGGGCTATTTCTTGGACTGCAAAAAACCGGAATGTGTACATACTAATGATTGAAAAACCAAGACCCAGGATCAAAAACAGCAAGAGAAATTGGAGGGCTTTCACCGGCAACACCCTTGATATGTTTGTTCTAACAGAATGGCCAAGGTCCTTACCCTCTTCCATTCCCACAACTCTTTGCATCCTAATTATCCTAAACCTCTGTCAAAATCAGCTTCTGGATATCAAAATCCCTCCAAAATCAAATTCAAGAGCTTTCTATACCAGATGCCAAAACCAAAGCCTCAGACAACATCTTATAATAAGAACAGTGAAGCAAGTTTGGTTTTGGCCATATGAGTATATGATTTTCCTTCAGAAACAATCAAGTCCCATATACCACCAAAATCTGATAAACAAGATAGCTGCCACAAAAACGCAAAGAAAAATCAGAACTTGGCCAAATGGGTATTTGGTAAAATATCAAGAAAACAAATTTTTTTTTAAAAAAAAGAAAAAAAAAAAAAGGAAGAAGAGAAAAGACCATATCAATACAACATATAACGTGATAATTGAAGAAAATACAGAAAGAAAAAGAGAAAGGGAAAGGAAGAACGTGTCTTACCATGTGGCGGTGTGCTCTTTGATAAAAATACCATCGGATTTAAATAGAGAAGCGTTTGAGCAACGAAGGAGGGATCAGTTCACAGTTTCGTTCAAATCTTGAATTCCGCTAGCCTTTATTGAATGCTAGCAATTAATGTTTGGTATGGGAGAAAGAAAGAGAAAGAAAGAGAAAAAAAGAGAGCGGGACTATGGCCTCCTTGATTTCTATGGTTTCTCCATTCACGGGGTGTCTTTGAAACTTCTGGTACGATCAGATATGGACACTGTTTTAAGTACCCAGAAGCAAGAAAGTGGACAAAAGTTGGGTGGAGAAACCTAAGACATGATAGAGATAAGAGTTTTGTTTTTCAACTGGGTTTATTAATATGTTGTGGCTTTGTATTCTGTTCCTCGAGGGCTGTCCGTCCTCTTGTCCTGCTCCGTGTGTTTTGGGACTTGATCGTCTCTTGGTTCTTTTCCCATTTTTGCCCTATTATTTAGCTCAATCACAAATGATTTACCAAATTAGATTTTTTTTCCACATTAATCATATTTTTTGGGAGCATTTCACATACTAATAGTAATAAAGATATCATTTTTCATTTTGTGATGCACCCAATTTAACTGCTTAATTGTTAGAAAAATTTAGCCAACCAACCTAGTAGTAATACTAATACCTTTTATTTGAAACTTGAAAAAATCATAGTTTTTGGATTTGAGTTATATAAGATGAAACCTCAATTTTGCATCCCAATATAAAAAAACATTCAAATTCATTTATTTTTATCATAGTTATATGGTTTAGTTACTACACAATAAAAAGAAAAAAGAAACAACTCATAAGAAACGAGTAAAGGTGTAAATAAATATGTCAACATTACACTTTTTTTTATTTAAGGATGTCAATTTTTTCAGTTCCTAAATAAAAATATCAACTTTCAATTTTTTCTAAATAATTATGTCAATTTT